GAAATCTCCCATACGAGAAAGACTCAGTGTGCAACATCAGCAAAGACCTGAGAGCAGCATTACCAGAGCATGACAGTGGCAGTCAAGTAAGAAATGTTCTCCACCTGATTCTTCTCCCTCCCTAACTATAATTCATCATAGGTCAGTCACTGAAGTTTCTAAAGAGAGAAGGTGTTGTTTACAAAGCTAATATAGAAGATGGAATCCTCCTCCCACCACCCCAAATTGGTCCCAGTGTAGGCTTCCTGATTTACAGAGGAAGGGAAAAAAAATTTAACCATGAAATGAAATTTAGACTTTTAGTTTTTACAGCAGATTTGTAAAATTATATCTGAACCTCCCCGATATTCCATTCAAAAAGCTGAAAAGCATTAGCCTGCAGACTGGATTTAAAAGGACAGTGAGAACACAATACATTTTATGGTGTAAATCTTACATAGTTCTATTTTTTCAAGAATTAGTTACAGTTATAATGCACATGTGATAAAGAAGGGAATTACTTATGGCATCTAAAATAAAATAACATTTTGTTTATATAGTTTCAGAGATACTTGCTTTCCTAACACTTTTCTGAGAGCAAACTGGACATCTTTGTTTCTGAGGCTATATACCATGGGATTTAGTAATGGAGTGACAATGGTGTATTTCACTGTCATTAGCCTGTCCTTGTTGGAGACATAGCTTGCTGTAGGCCTCAGGTAGATGAAGGAAGCACAACCATAGTGAACAATGACAACAGTGAGATGAGAGGAACACGTGGAAAAGGCTTTCTTCCGCCCCTCAGCTGAGGGAATCTTCAGGATAGTCCTCAAGATGCAGAGATAAGAAATGCAGATGAAGAAAAAAGGGACCACAAGTGCGAGAACTCCACAGATGAAGATGAAAAATTCATGAGCATCGATATTGGTGCAAGCCAGACGAATGACTGGTGAGATGTCACAGAAGTAATGGTTGATCTTGTTGGCACTACAGAAAGGAAGGCTAAAAACTAAATTTACTACCATAAGGGAGGCCAAGAAACCTCCAATCCCACAGGCAGCTGCCAGTTTTCCACACATCTGCCAACTCATAAGGATTGGGTAATGCAGAGGGTGACAAATGGCATCATAGCGGTCATAACCCATCACACCCAATAGCAAGCAGTTGGTAATAGCAAAACAAAGGAAGAAGAACATTTGAATGACACAGCAGGTGAAGGATATTGTCCTGGCCACAGAAAGTAGATTGATGAGCATCTTGGGTAGGATGACAAAGGTATAGAAAGTCTCAGAGGTGGAGAGAACGCCAAGGAAGAAGTACATTGGTGTG